GAATAACAAAAAAAAAAAAAAAAAGCAACAATTACAAATAATGTTTAAAACTGAAGATCTAAACATACATATACTCTTGAATAAGAACCACTATGTGTATTGAAAGTACCATAAAAAAGGAAGAATACTTACTGTAAAACCTTTATCTTGCAGAATTATACACAGACTTTTCTTTACATTAAAATACCTTTATTTGCGAGCTTTCAGCCCTCTTATCATAGCCTTCATCAAGCAACAATGTACTAAACAATACAGATTCATTTATCTGTGGAACTCTGCATTAAGGAAGGTGTCTAGGCAACATTTATAACAATAACTGTATCATAGAAATGAATAAAAACCCTATAACCCAAGCATTTTTACTTTCAAAAGTAAAGTCCATGTATAATTCTACATATTAATTTACCTACATTATGAGTCTTAAAAAAAAGAAGTTTTAACTTTTAATAAAATAATACTTATAATCAGGAAATAAACTCCAAACAAAGGTATTAATTTGAATGTCAAAATCACATGGATCTCCTTTTTTTCATAATTGTCTTTGATACACCTACTTTTTTTTCAATGACACTGTCTACACAGTAGTCAGTATAAAACACTATTCAATAACAGTGACAGAAAGATGGATTTAACTTTTTTACTTCTTTTAGAGGGATTATATAACATTTTACTTTCAACAAAAGTACCAAATATTTTCTCACTTCTCTTAAAAATTAATAATGTCCCTTAATTATCCATTCAAACAAAAAAATATACCAATGCAGTAACCTAAAAATTCACACTTATGAAGTAAATCAGAAAAGCACAAAATGATAGTATTTTTACTGTGCATTCCAGGCACTATTCTCACATTGTGTGTCTATCTTATTGAAAAACTTAATATGTTTGCAAGAACAACATACATTCTTCTCTGCACTTCTACTAGGGCAAAAACCTCTGACTCAAGTGCTTGAAATTAGTGATGGCTAGCAGGTAAAAAATCTAGTGTGTTTTAGTATTTAACCAGTGACCAACAAGATTCAATGTCACTTTTTTGCCAGTTGATAATTCAAGAAAGATTATTAATATTTAAACCAGTTGTACACAGTGGTAAATTATTTTAAAAAAAAGCTACCTACAAACACTGCATTCATTAGAAAAAAGCATTATGATAATTGACCAGTAAACTTTTTCTAGTGGTTGTTGTGCACCATTCTCATGCATCTTTCAAAGTGAATTTTTAAGTCTAAAATAGCAAATAACACATTACATTTTATGTGAAGTTTTACGAATTTTTTTAAAATTTCATTTTAGGAAATTTAATTATCATCACAAACAGATACCTCAAATTTGACAGTATATTACAAAATATTAAATCAAAAAATGTCATGGCTGGTGAGTTACTAGTAACTTTTAAAGCCACTGGCAAAAAAGTTATTTTTAAACTCTGTGATTATCAGTTTTTTAGAAATGCTTTAAGTTAACTATGTTAAAACTTTTATACCTCCATTGAAAAAAAAAAGGCTGCATATCTTTTAGTTTTACCCAACTAACTACATACCTCACACAATTATAAATACACATTTGTCATGTATTAGTCTAGTAATAATCTTCCTGATGAAATTACTAGACCTATCAAAGCAAAAATATGCCCCTCCTTAAAAAACCCACTTATGAATGCATGTTTTAAAAAAAATGTGGCATACAAACCTCTGAGACTTAATGTCTTTAATGCCTTCAAACAGGAAAATGATTCAGGGAGTCGTTTAAGCTTGTTATCACTCAAATTCAGCTCCTATTCAAAAAGATAAGTAAAACTAAAATTAAAATCTTTTATTAAACATGATGACAACAATTTGTTTCAAAATCTTGTGTAAACTAACTTCTTTTTATGAAATGTATAT